ACTGTGCCACTTAGCTGCCCCTTTAAACTCTTTAATACTCTTCTTCCAGGAAGAGAATCCTTGCCTGCCTCTTCCTAAAGCAGAGCCCTTCCTCTGCATGCCAACCCGCTCCTTTCCCCCAGGGTAACGTTGGCCTTCACTTACAGGTAGAAAAAGTCAGAGGGACAGAGGAGACCAGGGCTCTTGAAATCACTCAGGAGCCCTGGTTTTCCCAATCCCTTCCAATCCCCTGGATAAAGAAAATGCCCCCTACTCTGCATCCCCAATACTATTAATAGATTTATACTCTCAAGAAATCAAAAGGGGCAGCTAAGTGGTGCAGTAGATAGAGCTCCAACCTTGGAATCAGGAGGACCTGAGTTCAAATGTGACCTCGGACCCTTGACACTTACTAGCTGTGTGACCTTGGGCAAGTCACTTAACCCTGATTGCCTCACCAAAAAAAAAAAATAAAGAAGAAATCAAAGAAGAAGAGGACCCATGTGTACGAAGATGTTTATAGCAATTCTTTTTATAGTAGCAAAGAACTGGTAACCAAGATGTGACTATTGATTGGAGAATGGTGAACAAATTAAACTATATGAATGTAATGGAATATTATTGTGCTGTAAGAAATGACAAAGGGGACGGATTCAGAGAAACCTGGGAAGACTCGTATGAACCCATGCAGAGTGAAATAAGCAGAACCAGGAGAATACATCGTAGCAAAATTGGGAAGACAAATAACTTTGAAGATCTTGAGAACTCTGACCAATGCAATGATTAACTATGATTCCAGAGGATGGATGGTGAAGCCTGTTGCCCAATTCCTAACAGAGAGGTGGTGGACTCAGGGAGCAGGGCGAGATACACATTTTTGGACATGGCCAACTGGGGAAACTGGTTTGCTTGATCATGCATATTTGTTACAAGGGTTTTATTTGTCTTTGTTTCTTTTAAATTGGGCTTGGGGAAGGGAGGACAATTTATTGTTGTTGTTCAGTCATCTCAGTTGTGTGTGTCCCACTCTTCATGACCCCATTTTGGAGTTTTCCTAGCAAAAAAATGCTGGAGTGGTTTGCCATTTCCTTCTCCAGCTCATTTTACAGATGGGGAAACCGAGGCAAACGGGGTGAAGTGACTTGCTCAGGGTCTCACACCTAGTAATATATACTGTTAAATTAAAAATAAAATAAAATGAAAAAAAAGCAATTTTGGACAGGGCTGACCCAACCTTCCCTAGCTTTCCTGCCAAATAATGTTGCTGCCTGTTGGTATGTCTAAGGAATATTGGAGAAAAAACAGACTCAACATCAAAGGCATGGTGAAAAACCAGGTCTCTCTTATTGGGCTGCTTTTTGGAGGCTCTGGATGGATGTCTTACAACTTAGGAGGAACTATAGGTCATCGTTACTACTACTACTATTACTACTACTACTACTACTACTACTACTACTACTACTACTACTACTACTACTAC